TGCCAACTGGGAGCTCAGGCCAGCTGACAGACCTGCACTGGGCTCTGGAAGGGCGGGGGGGGGAGGCGCACCGTCTCACCGACTGCTGCAGTAACAAAAGGGACCTTATAAAGAAACACAGCGGAGCTTATTGGCAGGACCCCGGCGCTCCAGCACAGGCCAGCAGCCGCCATCTGGCAGGGAGGAGGGTTCGCTCCCGGCGCATCCTCCGCCCGGGGCGGCTGCCAGCGCCACGGCCTCCCGGGCCGCCCACGGAGCCGCAGCTCCAGGGCTGAGCTCTCCCTCTAGCGAGGCTCCGGGCGTGCTGCCCCTCGCTGTGGTATCCGGCCCTTTTCACCAGGCGGTTTGCAGTCCCCCCCTTCGCTGCTGCTTCTCCTGCCTGCCCTTCTTTCTGTCCCCCCTCAGGCGATGCCCCCGAGTCGGGTCCCGGCAGAGCCTGCCTCGCTCGCCTCCCACGGGGGGCAAGTCACGTCCCCCCCTCCGCTGGCGCTCCTCAGGGACCGGCACGGCTGTGCCTGGGGCCAAGGCTGGCTCCGGAGCAGTGGGACGGGCAAGGGAAGCTGGGTGGCTGGATCTCAGGGGGCTTCTACCCCCAGGGAGATGCAATTTGCCCATTTACATCCCATCCCGCCTGTGGGGCCGGCAGCCCCGGGCTGCCTGTATATGGGATTGCGGCAGGAGAGGCGGCACTCCAGGCTCTGCTCGCACCCGGCAGTACGGCAAAGCCTGGGGAACCAGATCCACAGTTGCAAAAGTCTGGCTGCCACCACAGAAGCAACCTCCCTGCAGTCCCCAGGGCTGCCCCAGCTCCCACCCCATCATCTTGCCAGCACTGCCTCTGCCTCTGGCCAGCCCCTCCAGCCCCAGGGGGACCCCACCAGCCCTGGAGGGCTCTGCCCCACACCGTGCTCTGCAGGTCACTGCCACCACCCCGGGGACAGACTGCTTTAACTGCAGCCCTCTGCCCAGCAAGAGCAGGGGACCTGCACACCTTCACCTCCCGCCCAAACGGGGAGATAACCTACTCACACACTGGGGGTGCCACCGTGAGGTGTCCTGCTGTGGAGGGGTGGGGAGGGGGTTCCCACTCTGGGACCCTTGCTGTTCAGCCACTGCTCCCTCCCTTTTAGCCAAGGCCACCGGAGGACGCAGAGGCATCCCAGCGCCCTGGGGAGGCCTCTCCAGGTCTGCACTTAGGCACATTCCCCATGCGCAAGGTCAAGATAAAAGCGTGGTCTCAGACTATCGTGTGCCGAGGGACACCAGAGCCTTGGCATGAGCTGCAAGGCTGCATGAACCAAGGCCACCAACCGTGGGGGACACCGCGTCTCCTGGGCAATGCAGGGGGCATCACCAACTTGGCTGCTTCTGCCACTGAGAGAGATGGAAAGTCATGGGCTGCAGGGCCATCCAGACCCCAGCCATTGCAACAAATAATGTCAAAGGTTTCGGAGGCACAAGAGGGACAGCATTAGGGCACATACAGGTCTAGACTCGCTGGCCTTCTTCACCAGTCACCCCTCACACTAAAGCCCTGCAGCCCGACATCACCTCTGCCAACCCTGAGGCCGACAGCCAGCATAAAGCCCAGCCTCCACCGCAGAGTCCCCTGCCTGGGGTCCCCAGTCCACCTGAGCTGGTGGCAGTCGGTCTGTACTGCTTGTGACCATTGGTGGTGGCAAATCCCCTGCTCTGGCCCCGCCGATGTTGCATTACAATGGCTGCAGAGGTTCCTGAGCTCCTTTCCCCAGCAATTTCCATTAAAGACCCCTTAATGGGAGCATCACAAGGATAATCCCCACTCGAGCAGATCAGCCCTGCCAGGCACCAGGAGCCGCTGACTCCAGCTCAGGGGAACCTTTGAGCAACCAGCCCAGACACTTCTTCAAACTATTTGGGAAGCTTCAGCTTCATGATCGGCTCCACTCAGAGTCTAGAAAGTTGGTGGCACCAGTGATGGGGAAAGAGAAAACTTCTTGCACCTCTCCCTTGCCAGAAAGCCCTGCTGCCTGAGGACTGACCCTGCAGATGATGGGCTGCCCTAGCCCCTGGTACTACCCCATGCCTTCCCTGCTTCCCAGTCTAGCTCATGCTGTCAGTCCCAGTCTCCGCTCCTCTCCACCGCATGACACCAGATCCCAACCACACCTGCCTCCCTGTCTGCATCACCCATGGGGGCTGCAAGGGGAGGCTCACTCCACGCCAGGGAGCAGAGAGCTGGGCTGCTGCCTGCCGGGGGCCTGCACACCTTATTTCTCACTGGATGCAGGGGCAGAGAAAGTTAAGAAATATCGACACCTAAAAGAGCAAATTCAAGAACTGACAAACACTAACATTACTAAATTTATGGGATTTCCCTCAGGAGCACATGGAAAATGGTATCAAGGGAATTATGAGTTATTGAAAGAATTAGGACTCTCAGGTTCTCGACAGGAAAAGGTCACTCATTGTTTATCGAATTGGACGTTATTTTCATCAGTAGATATTGTGCATATATTTGTAAGTACAGACTGTTATAAGATCATAATGAATTAATGAATTGTAATTGTATTGTTTAATGGACTGTAAATAAACTGATTTCTTCTATCTTTCTATCTAAGGCGGGAGCCGGACCCCACTGGAGACTGCCAAAGGCGACACATCAGGGTGTGATAGTACGTAGGGATGATAACGGGCTCGGAATCATGACGCGTCATCTAAATTCCTGCCAAAAGACATTAAGTACCGGTCTTTACCAAGGTGGATGGGCCACCTTTACTTAACCCAGAAAAGGAACATGTATAATTTTATGTATGTTTGATAAATAGCCAAATGCCTCATCATCTAATTAGCGACACGCATTATTTCTCACCATCTTTCCTGCAGCCTCCACTTCAGGCTACTGCTGGAGCCAGGGCACCGGCTCACTCGCTGCAGGCAGCATGGCCCATCTGAACATCATCCACAGCCCAGGAGATGGGCAAGAAACGGGGCCTGAACGGGACTAGGAGAAGAGCTGTGCAGGGACCTACTGATAAAAAAGGGAACCGCTTCTAAATGGGGAAAGTAGTTGCTTGGGACTCTGTGTGCCTGTGTAACAGAAGGCGAGGCTGGTGCTTATGGTGCTATGGAAAGGCCAAGCTCGGGGTCCCCAGGCCAGGGAGTGCAGTGAGGGCTGCAGCCGGGTTCCCCCCGCGCTCCCCTGCCACCAAAGCAGAGGTACTCCTGCTTGTGAGGCTGGAAGAGAAGACAAGAGGCTCAGCAAAGGTGGGCTCAGCAAAGATCTAGGGCAGTTTGGGGGACACACACACAACACCCCTCCATGGCCTGTGCCGCAGCCCAGCGCTGCTCTGAAACCTGAGCTAGGAGGGGAGGACAGCACTGCAGCATCTTCGGCACTGCTGGCACGCTCTGCGCTCCACTGACTATAAACCAGTGAGGAAAAACCTCTGTTAAGCCACGTTATTGCTATCCCTCCTGCCACTGTGTCTCTGCACCCTCACACCTCCCCATGCCCCTGCAGCGGGGTTGCTGTGGTACAATGGCACCCTGTGGATGGTAAGTCAGACACTGTCCTCTCGGTTTCTCCAGGGTGCTCTGTTTGGGTCCCTTGCCTTGGCAGAGGAATAGGAAGACAATTCTTCCTGCAGAGAGCACTGATCATGGCTGGATACTGCCACCCTTCACTGCCTCGTGCCTCTCAGACATCAAAACCTTGCCTGGCCTCTGTGCCACCATGTCCCTGGCTTCAGTGTCGCAAAGAAAGGGAAGGCTTAACCCGGCACCTCTCTGCCCCAAAATGCCCTTGGAGTGATCCAGGGACCACAGAGCAGACGCAATACCCCACTCTCCTCTCTTGACTGCAGACACCAGAGAGGACACAGAGCTCAGATCCCCACCTGGCCACCCCAAGCTGAGCCTACGAGGACGGTGCAGGTTGCGACCAGAAGTGACATAGGTTTGGTTTGGAAAAAGACCAAACCCAAAAAAGTTTGGTGTGGAGAAGGCCAAGGCCTAGAAAGTGGACGAGGGATTCGGGAGGCTCTGGCATTGCACAGAAGGTCACCATGCAAGGAGGCAATGCAAACAGGAAGGTCAGCACTGGCATGACTGAGACACCAAGTTCTCCGAGAGCCACCAGCTCTGCAGCTGAACCACTGGAGCAGACCTGACATCCAGATCGGACCTGACCACACTCCAGATGAGCGTACCCTGGCAAAGGGAAAAGGCACAGCCTGCCAACCTGCCACATCGCAAGTGCCTCAGCCCAAGACCTTGCTGGAAGGGGGAGGAGTGCAGGAAGGTAGTTTCTCAGCCTGGACATGGTCTCACATAGAGACAAGTTGGAAGTGGTGGGGCTAAGCTCCCCCAGAGATCTCCCCAGGCGTGGGGCAGCCATCCTGAGCCTGGGTGCAGGCAGGCTCGGAGCAATGTACGGGGAGCCTCTGGTGGGCTGTGCTCATCTCTGCCCTCCATCTCCAAATATACACAAGACTGAGGAGATTCAGGAGGCCAGGACAATAGGTACAAGACCATGGGACTCTTGCTCTCAGGAAACAGGAGGCTGCTACTCAGATGGTGAGGGACGCAGCAGTATCAGGAAGTCTTGGCCTCCAGGAGGGAAAGGCTGTTGAATTTCTACTGGTACTCGAATTCTGACTGTCCTCTCCCCACAGCCACCATGGATGCTGAACTGTCCTGCAACAGGAACCACAACGAGACTGAAGTCCTGGGACGCCCTGCGTGCTAGGCTGGAGGAAACCTCACAGCCCGCCAGCACCAACAAAGCTGGCAAAGATGAAAAAGGAGATGTACTCCCACTGACATGCCTACCACAACACCATGGTGATCACTGGCCTGATCGGTCACTTGACAGAAAATCCAGCACACCCAGTCCTGACCCTTCCCCCCTTCCCCAGCAACACAGGTTAGGCTCCGGCTGCAAAACACGCCGCACAGGGTTAGACTCCACACCGAGCCTTGGTGTCCCAGCTGGACAGCAAGCAGCTTTGGTCACTCACCTCATGTTGGAGGCCAAGGGAGTACCAAAGCTGTCCTCTGAGCGGCAAGGGCTGTGCCAAGCACCCTTCCTTCGCCTCCCCCGCTCCTCCTCCCTCTCTGTCCAGGGGGCATCTGTGGCCGAACTGGTCCCAGAGTCTGGCTCCAAGTGAGCCAGAGGAGCAAAGTTCTCCTCGATCAGCTTGGCGCTGTCTCGGATCTGTCCCTGTATTTCTGGGGTGAGGGTTGGGAGGTCAAAAGTGAAAAAGGTTCCATGGGTGCGGGCTGGGGAGGAGAGGATGTCAATGGAGTCGAGGCTGGTGTAAGATGTGCCTTTGGCTCGATGGGACTCCATGATGCTCTCAAAATGCTTGCTGAAAGAGTCCATACCATCCTTGGAGAGGCTGTGCCCTAGGAGGAAGGGCACTGGAGACTTGAGCATACCCTGTGTGTCTCGGTCCATGATCCTAGAGGGAAAGAAAGCGAGAAGAACTGGTCACTGAGGAGGAAGTCACTGAAGGATCAAAGCCCTGAAACAAAAGCCCACACGCTGCTCCAGAAGGAAACTGGGGAGGGCAGAAATCTCCTCCGAACATCTGTAGACCTCCAAGGAAACGCCTCGCCTGCCCAAGACATCATGGGAAGAGGGACTGGGCTGGCCTCCCTCCAGACATATGCTTCTCCTTTAACGTGCCACAGACTTTTGTTCCTTTAGTGGCTCATCCTCATAAGAAGCTTATGAGATGGCTACTGCTCCCAGTTACTTGACTTGAGCTTAGATCCAATAAAGGGCTCAAGCACCAGAAGCAGGATGTGGTTCAGCTCCATTTCCAACCAAATCTAGAAGTGGCTGAATTTTCCAGGAGCCTTCAGAGCTCCCAGCACCCAGAAGGCTCCTCCTGAAGCTGCTCAGGACAGCGCGACACCTTCTTCCATGAATGCAGCACTGTGGTTGCTGAGCACTGCGCTCAGAGCATGATCAACACCAGCCTGCAAGGTCTGCTGGCTGGTTCCAGGAGGCATTTGGGACCCAGCACAAGGCGATGTTGAGTCCCAGGAGACATCTGGGACCCAGCATAAGGCGAAGCTGAGCCCCAGGTTTCCCCAGGCAGTACCCAGCTCTGGGCTCGGGGACCTGAGCTGGCCCATGTCCTAGAGGCCAGGCTTGGTCCTGGCTTATCATCTTGTCAGGGATCAGCCCCGCAGGAAGGCCCAGCCTGTCTCTAATGCAGGTCTGCATCCAGTCCAACACAGGATTTTCTTAACCCTGAAGCCCTGAGTGTTTTGTCCTGTAAATGAGGTGAAGTGCAGCCTGCCCATCCGTCTGAGCACGTGACAACAGGGACATTTCCAACCCAGGGAACATCAATGCTTCAGCCGTACAAGCATAAACACAGCCCTAAAAGCCTACTTTACTCATAAGCCACTATGATTTTATTAAAGCGGCAGAAAAGCACTTGTTATGCCACTCTCTCCTCTGATTAAAGGAGAGGAACTGCTCCAGCTTGTCATAACATTTGTTATGAACAAACAGCTTCGTACAGAGGGCTCAAAAGATGCATTGCTGTTACAAGCACCAAATGATTTTCATTCATTAGCCTTCACATACCGCTCAAAAATCTCACCCTTATTACTTCAGCAGGCCAAGAGCCGACAGCTTGACTCCCCCAAAGTGCCGCCTGGCTTCAAGGGGAGCGCAGCTAAGCCAGATGCAGGCAAGCAAGGCAGGATGGAGGCTGCTCTCCCCCATCCACCAGCATTTCCCTGGCTCCGCAGCACTGCTCCATGCTTGTCCTTGCCAGAAAGCCACCCCAGAGGTGGCTGCTCCTGGGGCTCCTACGGGAATGCAGGACAAGGCAGAGGAGACCTCTTTAACATCTGTAGATGAGCTCTACAGATGCGAATGTGCATTCACCATCCAGTGAATTCACCCAGCTGTGTGCTACCAAACCAAGCTAACACCGCTGACTTCATTTTGCACCTCGAATCCATAAGGAGGGCGATAGGCTGTGCTGGGGAGGACATCAGCGGACGGAAGGGACTTTTTTCCCAGGAGAGGGAGCTGGGCTCATTCTTGTGATCAAATATATTGCCACCAAGCCACAGGAAAAAACACAGCTGGTTTTGTCCACACCATCCAAGCTCTGGAAGCAATCTCTCCACCCCGAAATATCAAGTGCAAAGCCATTCAGCTCCAGAAGGATCTAGTCTCAGCAGCATGGGTGAAATGCTGCCTGTGCACACCACTCCTGCTCGGACCTAGACGCTTCATCAGCCCCCACTGTGCTGCCAAGTCCTCCCCAGCTGCCGCCCCCCTTGCACCCCGCTCTGGCCCCCCAGGAAGGGTCACCAAACCGTCACCAAGCCAGACAAACGCAGCTGGGAGGAGCAGAGGAGGGGAGGAGACACAGAGGCTGTAATCGAGCATCTGCGCAAGGGTGACGGGCAGCAGGAAAGCAAATAGGTTTCCAGCCTTGAGCTCGGGCAGGAGAGGTGGTGAGCCTTCCTTGGGAGAGGGCCAGGTGGGTACAGAGGGCAAGCGGATCCCAGGAGCCAATGGCCGTGCTGCATTGCACATCAGCGCCAAAGCCAGCAGCACTTCAGGCGAAGGCCTGCCTGCGGGGACCGCGGGGGTCTGAGCAACCAGGCTTCAGCGGCTGCGTCTGACAGCTAACGGATGGGAAGAGGCTCACCCTGCCTGGTGCTGCAGAGCCATGCCAAAATATCTCTCCTCAGGCCCTCAGCAGTTTTCTCTCTCTGCCAAATGCTCCTGTGACCCTCCAGATCCCTGACTGCCTCAGCCATGCCCCACTCCTCCTGCCTGCACAGGCACTTGCAGGCACTGTGGCGGGATCCCCGCTCAGCCCAAAGAAAGTGAGGCCGTACAGCACCAGCCAGCAGCCCCTCGCTTTATTCCTCTCTGAACAAAGCTCTTGTGTGAACCAGCCCCAGCGGCTCCTTGCACTCCCCCAGGCTCCTCCAGCTCGGCAGCTGCCCACTTTTGGGGCTCAGTGTCCAACTCCAACCCATGCTCAGCCACAGGTGCTGACCACGGGCGCTGCAATGCCTGGCCAGCTGCCCACACTCCCCTGCCACGTCCATGCCGTCACACTGGGGTCACGCTGCCCACAGTCCTCCCCCATGAGCTGCAGGCGTCTCCCCCCACTCATCGGCAGGCGCCTGCTGGCATCACCCCGAGCATCCCCTCTCCAGCCCCGCCAGCGGGAGCCTGTGGGACGTGGGAGCATCACCCTGAGCTGCGGCTCTGTGGCCACACTGGGCTCTGGGACAGAGGCTCAGCCTCAGCACAACATATCAGAGGCTTGTGGCTACTGAGGCAGGCTAAGCCTATGCTTAAGCATTTGATGAAATCAGGGCCATAACCGTTTTTTAATCCCCAACAAGGCTCGCCCTGCAGCTATTTTTCTCGAGCACAAAGGCTTTGGAAAGGCTCCCCAGGTAGCAGATCCAAGGGCTTTCCCAGGCGAGGCTGCTCTGCTTGCAGGGAGAAAAGGTGTTTCTGCCTCCTGCCAGCCCTCTGCACTCTCGGGGGAGTGGAGCACTCCCCAGCAAAGCCTCTTCTCTCTTATCAGCCCAAGGCACCCGTGCTGTGGGGCCAAGCCAGGCCCTGCCTCCAGCTTAGCCAGCACGTCTGCAGATGCTCGGGGAGGAAGGGAATTGAGCCGCTCTCACTGACAGGTCTCGGTTCTCCGGGACTAATGGGAATAAAGGCAGTAAAGGCTTAGACTAGTCATTAGAGTTGGTAGATCTGACTCTAAATATATTCAGGGAGCGGATTTGCTGGAAGAAGACACTGTTTATTCCTTCGCTTTCCATGTCTTGTTTGATTTGGTGTTGGGTTTTTTTAGCCCAATGTCTGGCCAGCCGTTAGCATGCTCTCTTATTTTGGGAGGATAAATCACCAAAGAAGACACCCTTTGGCCAGAATATGAAGGACAAGAAGATAGCACCAAGCCAAAATCCCCCTCGCAGAGGGTGCTAAGCCTTTAAGGCTAGATTTTCAAAGGGATTTACATGTCTAAATGCTGCAAATCAGCATCTGAAGGTGCTTCAGTAATTTTGTGGGGCTGGTTCCTCCCAGCTACATGGCCAGGCCTGGGGTACAGCAGCTCCTGCAGCAGCAGAACGGTGCCTGCTCCAGGGAGCCTGGGGGGCTTCTTAATCACCCTGGCATCACCCTCCTGTGAGCAGGCAAAGCAGAAAGCTTGAAGTAGAAAACATCAATATGGTGACTGGTAAACAGGGAGGAGGACTGCAGCTGCAGAGCTCAGAAACAGTGCGTAAGCAAAAACCCAGGGCTGCGATGCAGGGACTAAACAAGCTCACGGTTTGAGGCTCGTGATCTTCAAGACACTGCCTGCAGGGTCTGCACCTGCCTGGGGAATATTCAGGGGGCTGCAAATCAAAAGAGCCACTGGTCTACAAAGAAGCCATGTAAAATGAACATGACGTCCCTATTTTACACATCGGTAATTATACTGGGAACACCGTCTTTAGGGGCATCAATGCATTTAAGGACACATCCAAGCTTTCCAGCGCTGTCTGGAGAGCTATAGTAAGGTGTCCCAGAGGGCAAAAAGCAGGATTACAGCTCATAGGACTTGTCGTGGCCTAGTACATATTTGGAAATAAAATATCACTGTGCAAGATAATTGTTACAATAACTTGAAGAACTCACTTGCAGTGATAATAACTTTACACCTTACTCAAAATTTCCATCACTATTCATTTGGAAAAAAAAATATAAAAAATAGCTTATTTTCAGCTTTTCTCTAGAACACAAAGTTTTTGAGGACAGGGCAGGCAGCAGGGAGGAATTTATCCATCCCCTCCACTAGAGATGCAAGGGCTGGACAAACTGGCAGGAGCCCAGCTCCCCTCGGGACGCACACCTTCCCTCCCCATCAGCCCAGCACCTTCATGCTTCTCCTTCCCAGCACAGGGGCACCACTGGGGCTTATTTTTTCATTATCTTTTCCCACTGCCAACATCAAACCCTCCCTTTTTCTTTTCTTCCACCTAAATGCTCCCTGCCTGCCTTTTGCACAGCTAGGTGAGTGCATGCTGCCACACACCATCCCAGGCATCGCCCTGGCTTTGCGCTTCCCAGGCAAGACCTCTCCCCACCCTTGCAGAGCACTTGCTGATGATGCTGAGCCCCCTCATCTCAGCCAAGACTCTTTGCCGATACACGTGTCAGGGGATGCCCTTGGCTGCCGCTGCCTGCATAGGCATCTCCCGTTCCCTGCCAGGGCCTTTCCCCTCCAGGCGGCTGTCCCGCACAGCCCCCCCCCCCCCCCCCAATGCCTCCTGCAGCAGGCAGATGTTGCCTGTCACTCCTCATGGTCAAACCACCACTCCAGAGTATGCCCCATGGGCAGGGTCTCGTGCCGCGAGGCCAAAACACCATCTCCCATAGGTCCTAATTGCTAGTGCCCAGCACAGGGCAGACGGCAGCTCAGATGGCATTAGCTGCCCACAGGTGGGCAACTGAGTGATAACCTTGGTGTCACCCACTCCATCAGCCTTCCAGCACAGGGTGTTTTGCCACACAAGTGAAAAACAACACAAAAGACAACAAAAGGCTTTTTCCTGCCCAATGCATCCCCCACTCTTCCCCAAACATGGCAAATACCTACTGAGGCCAAGCAAAAGGGACTGCTCCCACCGCTGAAGCATAGCCGGCTGCAGAGGGGAGGGCAGCCCGGCAACGCCTGCCAGCACATGGCAGCTCCAGGTCACAGCCTGGGCTCAGGTGCCCTGACACCATTATCCCAATGCCGGCAGTACCGGGACAGGACGTAATTAACCTGGCGGGACTCGCACCAGGAAGCCTTGGCTCAGCCAGGTGACCCGAGCTGCAGGGCTCACCCCAGGGGAGTGGGGCCCACGGCACAGCGCCTGGGCCTGGATCACCAGCGCTGCCCCACACTTCCCATGGGGTGGTGAGGGTCCCCTCCCAGCTCCAGTCCCACCCCAGCCTGGGGATCCAGGACCCCATTTGACCCCCACGCACAGCTCGGATGGAGCTACTGGGATTTTTGGCTCAGACAATCACTCTTTCAGCAGAGCCCATTTTGCCATGCAAGGGATAGTAAGGAGGGCGAGAGGAGCTTTTTGCCCTCACACACGGAGCCTCACCTTTCCCTGTTCTCCTTCCTCGTTGCCTCAAACACCTCATCGTCCTCATCTGCATCCCTGTCCCGCAGCCCATCCTTCGGGCAGCCGGTGCCCGGGGCAGGGGGCTCCTCTGGCGTGCTGTTCCTCCTGCCTGGGGTGCCCTCGAAGCTTGGGTTGCTCTCACTGTCCTTCTGGCTCTCAATCGCCGAATCCACCTCCTCCTTCTCGGCCAGGATATCGTCGATGTTGGTTTCACGATAGCACCTCAGCGGCACGGTGTCCAGGTCTGTCTCAGAGTACTTCACTGTCCTCCTTATAATCCCAGTTTCGCAGGAGCCGGGCTTCTGGCCGCCCGGAGGAGACATCTCTATCTCCACCTCCACGTGGCTCAGGCTGTGTTCGGGCCCCGACCCCAGCGGCTCGGTGGGCAGCAGGCAGACGGGCTTCTGGGGGGGCTCAGCCAGGGGAGCGGAGTCGGGGGCAGAGGAGCCTGCAAGGGAGCCCCGAGCACTCAGAGCCGTGGGGAGCTGCGCCAGGGAGCACTGGGGAGCCACTCCTGCGGCATCACCCACACAGCAAGCGGGGTCACACGTGATGGGCACCGGGGAATGGAGAGGGGGAACCAGGAGGAAAAAGGGTGGGAGAGGCAGAGACAGGGTGCTGTCAGCGCTAGTGCACCCGCAGCCAGCCCTGAGCACCCATCCGAACCCCGAAGCCCTTCTGCAGAGGCAGCTGGCGGCTGCCAGGGGTCAGGGCTCTGCGTCAGCCCCTTTGCATGACGCTTTGCATGGCTGCAGGAGACTCTGCAGGGAGGTTGGTGCGTGCAGGATCTGGCCCCAGGAGGACACAGACTGGCTGATCTTGGCGGGGATCTCGGCTGTCCGGTGGGCACCGACAAGTCCCAAGGGATGGGCAGCCCCAGGGGGAGTCCTGGCAATGATTCAGACTTGCAAAGGAGAGGTCGGTCCAGCCAAGGGCATCCCCTCCTGACTTCTTACCTGTCTTCGGAGTGTCCAAGGAGCCATAGAAGAATTCCCACTTGGCCCTGGCAATGCGCTGGGCATGGGCCGAGCTCTGCCGGGGGTACGGCCACGCGCTGCCCTGCAGAGGGGAGAGTGGTGAGCAAGCGGTGGACCCTGCGGCAGAGCCTGTGCCCGGCATGGGTCACCCCAGCACTTACCTGGGGTCGGGGCTCCGGCTTCGTGGGGCTCCTGGAGAAGGCAGGGAAGTCCTCTGGCAGCCCGTTGGTGAGGGAGCGGCAGGGGCAGTCAGCGTCGAGGGCGCAGGGCTCCTTCCCACAGGGACACGTTGCCCCCAAGGTCCTGCTCCCGGCCAGGAGCGGGTCGGACGCAGAGGCCTCCAGCTTCAGCGTGTGCAGGAGCCGCTGCTGGGGCAAGGGCTGGGGCTGGGGGGACTCCGTGTCCCCGCCAAGCTCCAGGCTGCGGCTGAGGCTGTGGGGGCCGTTGTCCCAGCGGGGCTGGGGGAGTGGCAGGCCGCCCAGGGTCTGCACGCTGGCCTTCTCGATGAAGCGGAAGGTGACAACGGAGCTGTGTCCCTCCGGGGCCGCTGCTACCAGTGGGCTCCGGCTGCCCGGGGAGGAGAGCACTGGGCTGGGCCGGCCCCGCCGTGGGGTGCAGGGGGCCGTCAGCCGCCCCGCGCCCGGGCAGCTCCCATTGCCAAAGGTAGCCGCCTCAGCCGGCTTGCGGGCCAAGGAGCCGGTGCTGTTGTAGAGGCCAAGGGGGTAGCGGCGGGCGTCAGGGGCCAGACCCTTGCGTAGGAGGTGCAGGCGGCCGGCGTTGAGGTTGGGGGTGAGGCAGCGCGGGGGACTGCGTCTCCCAGCCTCGGGGCTCCCTCCCGCCAGCCAGGGCCTCCGGTCCACCCCACGGGCGAACAGTGGGGGTGAAGCAGCACAGCCCTCCTCAGGGTGGAAGTGGACGGGTCCCCCCGCCTGGGCCATCCCGCCGGAGGAGGGCACGGAGGTGTCAGGTCTGGAGCCCAGCAGGGCAGCACGGGTATGGCGAGGCGGGTTCCCGGCACCCCTGAGATGATGGCTGGGTCGAGGGGCGACGCATCCTCAGGCAGCCCTGAAACAAGGGCGAGGAGATCTGGTTAGGGGAGGGAGGACACAAGGAGGAGTCTGGGGCCACGGGGAGGACAGGCAAAAGGTGCCCTGCGCTCACAGCAGGAGAAAGAGATGCTCCAGGTGAGATAGCCCCCTTCAAATCCCCTCTTGCTGCAAGAAGCAGGCAAGGTTCGTTGTGGGCATCACACCAGCACTACAGGGATGCCAGCAGCCCTTTGCTCGGTCCCCAGCCATCCTGGGGTGTTTTCTTTCTTCCAGGGTGCCAGGATGCTCAGGCACTTCCCCCACAGACCAGCACCCCTCAGACATGGTGGGAGAGCATGCTATGCACTTTAAAAAGGCTTTCATTCATCCTGCTTTAGATTGAATATATTTACTACCCACAGCCTACTAAAATCACTTTAATAAGGGGGAAAAAAATTATATACTGGATCACTGAGACATCCTCCAATTACACTTGCTCAAGGAGTTTAACAGGAGCAGCATGGGCAAGAAGCCTCTCTCTTTGGAGGTCAGCGTGGGTTTAAAGTGTGTCACACCAGCACATGCTGCAGCCGCTATCGGTGGCACAGACAGAGCTGTCAACACCCGCAGATCCAAAAAACAGTGGTTACGACAATCCTGCCCTGGGGGAATGGAGCACACATGTCCTGCACACAGCTCGCCTGCCTGCCTGCCTCTGCCCAGAGATCCTTTATCGGGAGGGGAGACCAGCCACCCCACAGCAGCAGGGCAGCTGGCTGCAGGGCAAGGCAGGACCCAGAGCCCCCGTCAGCGCCGCTGGCAGGGCTGCTGACGGTTTTCTTTCTCCCAGCGGAGCTAAAACTTGTGCTCATCCTTGCCCAAGTTTCTCCAAATTCTGGTGTGTAGAGAAGACTCTGCCTTGGCTGCTTTTGCCTTCTGACAGATGCCAGGATACTAAGTCCCTCACTTAGATCTCATCATTTGAAAGTGAGAAACCAAATGCCAGTTGCAAACGAAGGAAAGCATGATTTCTTCTCCCTCTTTCCAAGTACAAACCAGACAGGATTAAATTCCTGAAGGAATTTAGGCTCCAGAGATGCAGAGACATAACTCTTAATAAAATAGCCCAAATCACCCCCGTGGGGCAGGCGCCCATTTATCAGCACTATCACACTGCTAAAAAATCTGGCTCCTGCTGAGCAGCAGCAATCTGTAATTCACTCACCGCAAAAACCCACTCTCCTGTTTAATATGTCAGTTAGTGTTTTTACAGTCTTTTTGCCCATTATGGTTGTGTTCACATTCAAGGTTGCTGAAGTTAACTGATAAATAATAAAGATGTAGGGTTTATATATTTCAAATTAAATTCCATTTTTTATCTCAACAGAGACTGACCCACATGCCAAGGAAAAAAGTTATCACTAGAAATAGTTGGCATCCAGTGTAACACAACAAATCTATAAAAAACAGCCTATCTCAATACATGTGAGTTATTGCTAAAATAACGGGGATAAGCACAGCGTGTCCTCCTGGTTATCAAAGAAGAATTATCAAATTCAGAGTAAAGGCCATGCCCGCCTGCGAGCCACCGAAGCCGGTGGCTACACCATCCAGCGAGTGAGCTTTTCTTTAATAATGAAAGGTAAAAAGCACAAATGCAACAGAGATGAAAAAATCAATGATGGAGCTAAGGCTTCCTACTTGCTGATTTAAACCGTGAATCAAATTGATGCTCTTTTTAAATCACTGTGATGAATGGGATGGGCTGTAAGGCACTGGTGGGCGGGAGGAAGCCTTGCTGGTCCCACTGCCTGAAGGCAGGAGAAGTCCTGCAAAGGAAAGCTTACAGGGAGGCTGCCCGGGCAGCCCAGGGCACGCGTTCAAAGAGAAAAACTCAGCAGCTGCAGTGTGATAGCCGGGAGCTGCACCTCAGTGGGGGATTTCATTTGTTCAATAAAACATCTCATACATACAAGAAACTTGCTCCTCCTGGCTGTCCCTTCTTAGTGGCCAAAGCGATGTCCAGGGATTTTTCCCCGCCCTTGCTTTGAGCTGCACACGCTGCAATAGGGGATGGCTACAGGCAAGCAGGCGCTTGCCTGGCTGAGCGGGGCGATGCGGGGTGAAGGCAGCAGACAGCAGGAACTGCTTACGCTGCGGGGGAAGCGCACACCCACGCCGGGGGAGCGTGGGGACGACGCGGAGGAGCTGGGGGAGGATGCAAGGGGAACGGGCAAAGAACGGGACAGGGATGGGAGGGAAGTGAGAGGTGCAGGGCTGGGGGCTGAATTCAGACGATGGGCCGTATCTGTGTGCCGGACACGGCACCGCTGTCAGCGGTGGTGGCAGGGAATGGGGGAAGCCAGGCTGTGGGTGCCGGCCCATCTGACAGCTGGGGCAGGATGGGCCCCAGGAGGTGCCTCTGCGCCCTGGAGGGACACGGAGCAGTTTCGGGGACGCACTGGTGACCGAGGAGGGGTGCCTGGCGGCCCTGGGGCTGTGGGACGAACAGGGGACCCCTTCCCGAGGGGGTGTCGGTGCGGGGGACGTGCCCACCCTCCAAGATGGGGCTGAGCCTGCCCTTCCCTCCCCGCCCCCCCCAGCCCGGCCTCCCTCGCCCGGCACCTCCCGTCTCGGCGGG